GTACCTATAGTCCCAGCTACTGGGGAGGCTGAGGCAAGAGAATCACTTGAGCCCAAGAGGTAGAGTTTGCAGTGAGCTATGATGACACAGCACTCAATCCAGGGCAGAGTGAGTGAGACTCTGTCTCAAAAAAGGAAAAAAAAAAAAAAAAGATCTTTTAACTAGAAGGTAACAATATTGTTTTTAAAAAGAATATCCTATCATTTACAAAACTTACCCAAACTAGATTAGCCACCTAGATTATTTGTGACTGGAGTATTCCTACCCAGTGATTACCACTAGGTCATATGTGCAATGTAACGTGTTTTATTTTTTGAGACAGAGTCTCACGGTGTTGGCCCAGATTCGAGTGCCTTGGCATCAGCCTAGCTCATAGCAACCTTTAACTCCTGAGTTCAAGTGATTCTCCTGCTTCAGTCTCCCGAATCACTGGGACTACAGGCACCCACCACAATACCCAGTTAGTTTTTCTATTTTTAGGAGATGCCGGGTCTTGTTCTTGCTCAGGCTGGTCTTGAGCTCCTGAGCTCAAGTGATCCTCCCTCCCCAGCCTCCCAGAGTGCTGGGATTATAGGTCTGAGCCACCTCAACCAGCCCCCCAAATGTAAGGTTGTCACTGGAATTTTTAAAGAGGAACATTTCCTATGAAAGAGAAAATAAAATGTATTTTAAATTTAAAGGCCCAAATTCAGAAAGATAAATGAAGTCAAGAACAGATGGAAGGAGAGAATAGAAAGCTCCAAGTACTTTAAAATCAGTCAGAATTTCTAAGAGGATATAACTACATACTTTTCACAACTCGGGGTATGTAGTAGACCCACTGGCGCAGAGTAGAGTCTCCCAGGAGGTAAATGAGTTTTCTTTTTAAACAGCTACTTATCTTATTGGAGTCTAACTGAATCTGGTTACAGAATGTTGGGATCCACCTTCCTCGTGAAGTATAGCCACCAGGGACGGGAACCTTCATTCCAACTTGGCATTTCTCTTTCATCGTTTCTTTCCCTGGTAACAGAGATACTTGGGGTGACTGGTTTTATCAGCACGAGTTAAACACACAGCCTTCTTTCTTGGCCCTGCCCTGTCTTGATCACTTTCTCCTTTCCTCTTAACCCCCTTTCCCACTTCTATTCCTTCCTACCGTGTTTCCCCCAAAATAAGACCTACCCCCAAAATAAGTCCTAGCAGGATTTCTATGCATTTGTTAAATATAAGCCCTACCCCATAATAAGACCTAGTGATGGGCGTGGCTATGCAGCGTATCTGCATAGCCACACCATACATTTTGGCACGGAGTGGTAAGGAAGACTGGGATACCTTTTATCTGCCACAGCTCCTTTCTCCAAGCCGTTGGCAGTCGCAGGCATCTTATTGCACACATGTGAATGGCTAGGGGAAAGGAGTTCACGTATCACCAGTGCCAGCCCCAACAAGGTCAGTTCCCCCACCCGGCCCCCCGTCAGGTTCCAGAAGAAGATGACTTAACTGTATTTGAATAAATGCAGATTGTTGTATTATACTTAATAAAAATAAGACATCCCCTGAAAATAAGCCCTAGTGTGTCTTCTTGAGAAAAAATAAATATAAGACAGTGTCTTATTTTCGAGGAAACACGGTAGTACTTTCTTTGATCACTGGCTTTGTTTTAGGCACTTGCACTCGTCTTTTGAGAGATTTGGAGTCACCTTGCCTCCCCCCATTCATTTTCTCCCAGATTGGGTCCTTAGCTAAGTCTAGACGTTCTGTCCCTTCTATGCCATCCTCACTGGTTCTGTGCTGACTTGAGTCTTTGTCTCCAACCTGAATGACACTAGTCGGTGTCCTTTGTAACAAATCACTAACCTTTGTCCCATTAATGAAGAAATAAACTTAATGTTTCCAAGTTTAAAAATGGGCCCAGAAAATAAGAACATGTGCACATTTTAAAAACTTCCAACAGTATAAAATACCTAGCTTGGCTTAATGTCTTGTTTGTTTGTTTTTTTCTAATTAGACCTTGCTAAAAGCAACGCACAGTGTCTAATACAGATCAGTCTTTCAAGATATTCCAGCAAGTTCCACTAGAATACCAGGCTCTGTTGGCGCACCGTCCAGCTTCCCAGGTGTCAGGGGTAGCAGTGCCCCAAATGTTTTCCCTGGCCCCTGGGAAGACCACCAGGGTTCTTCTGTCCTGTTTCCTTGCTGTTCTCTCTGCCACTGCCCATCACTGGCCAAATGTCTCCTGTTTAGATCTGTCCCATTCACACTTCAGTACTGATGCTACATTCTGTACTATATAGGAAACAAGCTTGTATGCTGTAGGAAAGGCCAAAATAACAGATTTTGGCCATGTATGATGTGCTCCTGTGTGTAATGCGCACCCACTTTGGGAGCCCAAACTTTCAGGAAAATGCCCCTTTAGAAAGTGGCCAGCTTCCTGGCCGGGAGAGACACCACTGGGGAGGGCTGATGCTTCCCTGGTAAACGTGCAGGTTACACTGCCTTTCTGCAGCTGCCTGCTCTGTGAAGGCTGCCCCTTCCCTCCCTCCCGGGAGTCCTTCTGTCCCCACAATGTCAGGGACGACAAGAGATGGTCATGTGCATGGCTGGTGGGGTGGGAGCTTCTGAGGCTGCTTGGCCCGTGGGCAGCAGTAGCGTCCCTAAGGACTTCATGGGGCTCCCAGTCCCCTCCATGTGGCCAGGTCTCAGGCCTCGCTCCTTGTCCTGCATCACCACAGCGGGTCTTGCCAGCCCTGCCATTACCCCCTTCCCTGATTACAGCACTCTGCGGAGGCCACTCCAGCCCACTCCCATTGGATCCTGGCTCCCAGACTGGAACCAGTCACCTGGTAGGCCCAGGTGGAAGGGCATAGCAGCCCCAGGGGGCCTGCTGGGCTTGCC